AGAAAGAAAGAAAGAAAGAAAGAAAGAAAGAAAGAAAGAAAGAAAGAAAGAAAATAATTTTATTTTGACAACAACAGATTCAGGGAACAAAGAATTACATAAAAAAGAAAAAAAAATTACTTAGTTGCCAAAAAAGGTCACCCACTCAGTAATATCTTGACAGTGTGACTGCCAAGACACTGATTTTCAGTGGGTGCCTTTTTGCAGCGCTATTTAACAAAAACAGAAAGAAGAGTAAAAAATAATAATAAAAACCATAAATTAATAATTCAATAAATTAATCAATTATACAAATTTTAAATTAAATAATAACAACATACATAATTAATTAAATTAAAAACATAACAATATTAATAAAATTCATACATAGACATGTCAAAACAAAAACCATTTCTACTGCATGGCCATAAAAGTCGAGGCAGAGACAGAAGAGAAAAAAAAAAAAAAAAATTACTTAGTTGCCAAAAAAGGTCACCCACTCAGTAATATCTTGACAGTGTGACTGCCAAGACACTGATTTTCAGTGGGTGCCTTTTTGCAGCGCTATTTAACAAAAACAGAAAGAAGAGTAAAAAATAATAATAAAAACCATAAATTAATAATTCAATAAATTAATCAATTATACAAATTTTAAATTAAATAATAACAACATACATAATTAATTAAATTAAAAACATAACAATATTAATAAAATTCATACATAGACATGTCAAAACAAAAACCATTTCTACTGCATGGCCATAAAAGTCGAGGCAGAGACAGAAGAGAAAAAAAAAATACATAAAAAAAAGTATCATTTGTCATCAAGTTGATTTGACATTTGCCACGTCCACCAGCCACGTAACAAAAATTATCAATCGGTTTTTGCAATACATACCTACTAATTATAATGGTTCCGTTTTTTCCTTTTGAGGTACGGAACCCTAAAAATATATAAAAATAGACATTATTTTTAAACTTTATTGCTATTCAGTTGATGCTAAAATAATAATCATTAAACGAAGAGTAAACACATTGTTACAACTTCTTTATGCTTCAAGGGCAAACAATTAGAATAATTTATTAACCCACTAGCTTTCCGCCCGCGGCTTCGCCCGCGTGGAATTTTGTCTGTCACAGAAAAACTTTATCGCGCGCGTCCCTGTTCCAAAAACCGGGATAAAAACTATCCTATGTTCTTTCCCGGGACTCAAACTATCTCTATGCCAAATTTCATCAAAATCGGTTGCGAGGTTTAAGCGGGAAAGCGTAACAGACAGACAGACAGACAGACAGACAGACAGACAGACAGACACACAGAGTTACTTTCGCATTTATAATATTAGTTGGGATATTCAAAGTTTTCAAAGGATAAGAAATTTAATTTGTCGAGAAAATTATGCAAAGTTTAAAAAGTAAACCTTCCAAGTTTTTAGAATATTCAATTACAATCGCAAAAAATCAAATCTTGAGACGATACTTGGCTTAACCTTGTCTGAGAAAGGTACGGATATTATAGTTTTAATTTTCTTAGAAGAAGAAAATTATGAAGAGTAAATTAAATAAACTACTTACTTACACACCTAAAATGTTTGAGAATTAGGTATTATAGAGGTAAAGTTTGTGCGTTTGTATATTTGTTGAATTGTAAGGGGTAATCTCGGGATCTACTGAACCAATTTTAAAAACTCTTTCACCAATAGAAAGCCACATTATTGCTGATAAAAAATCGAAAAATTCCACGCGGGCGAAGCCACGGGCGGAAAGCTAGTATTGTAATACGAGTTAATTATTATAGGTAAAATATTTTATACCAGACTATGTACCTATCTACTAACTTAGTTATGGTTACAAGTACGCAAATAAATATACGGAATCATCTAAATATATTGTGTTACAATAACCCAATAATATATTCCGCCATTTATCTGGCAAACGGTAAGCCTTGCGTGTTTTTGAAATATAAACAACCATTAAGCGCAATCATTTCACGGTGCTACGTGACATGTTAAGCAATTACAGCAGGCTGTTTCTGAATTCAGTTACAGTAGGGGTTCCCAATCTTTTTTATCCCGCGGCGCAGTTACAAAAGTATTTAGTGACGGGCCACGGCGTCCTACCCTTTGAAAAAGATACACGGGACTATTCCCACCGCTGCAACTCCTGTGTAGCCAGGATCTACAGCTTGACCGGCAATAAAAACCCATCCAGTGAAGGTCGTGGGGGAAAGTTCTGTCATTGAGAAATATTAAAAGTCAGAAGAACATAAGAGAAGTTCGACTTCCCCCAATGCAAAGCGGGTAACAGGAGACAAAACAAAGGAATAACCTTATGAGGACCTACGAGTATCTTGTGTAAGCTATTAGCTGCTGCCAATAATATTTTTCACAAAATCGCTGATTAAAAAATATACAGTCGAAACACGGGCGGGTAAAACGCCAACGAAACTCTACTGTCTACGGCGCATCAAGGCGCCGCGGCGACACTTTGGGAACCCCTGAGTTACGAGTTACAGCAATACACAATCAAAAACAGCAAATCCTCACAGATCCGTTCTATCCGAACCGATCGCTCGATAAATATCAAATAATCCCCGAAGATTGAGATAGATTAAACAAGTAGGTATATGTCTAGCACTCGACTCGGTCAGTGCCTGAGGTCTGTGAGCGACACGGGAGGGTGTTTACGGGACGTCAAACGTTAGCTTTCAAATGTGCTTCAGATTTGTATGCTCTGTCAGGCCTGTTCATCTCCGCGAGTTTACATTGAAAACAAAACACGCACGATGGCCCACCTACAGGACACTATTCGACAAGGCCTCACATACGAGCGAACATTGACTGACGCACGCATATTCTTGTGTATGATGGAAGAAAATAAAGAAAATGGTGTACTAAATACTGTGCAGTATTTAACTGCCTAAATAATAATAAAAACACAGAATGTACTTTTTTAAGTTGCCTCAAGACACTGGGAGGTAAATAAGTAGTTAATATTATTCATGATAATTCATGCTAAATCATGTATTTCCTCCGCCATTTTCCGCAGTTTGGCACCTCACGTCACATCATTTTACCGAAGTCAGCCCTATAGCTTCGGCGCAGTGCCGATCACTGACGTTTGTCAACAAAATGGTGCTTGACTCTTGAGACAGGCTAAATTACACCATATTGTTAATGACATTGAGCATACATTTGTTTAAATACCTTCGGGAAGTAAAACTTCTGCACGTAGTACTTTATAGATGACCCACGCTGAACTGTCCCACCAAACTCAATGACAGGGGGGCGCTACCATCGTTCAACTATATGGTTTCCAACATGGCAAAAATCGGAACCAGCGATTCAGTATTGACGGTGGCGCCCCACTGTCAATGTCATCGATAGGACAGTTCAGCATTATGGAACTATATTATTATTATGTGGCTCTGTCACGTTATATGTCAATGTCACCCTCCCGTGCCGCTTCCATACCACAGGCAGTGACTGATTTAAACGCTAAACCTATACATAAACATTCTTAATCCCTTCGTATTATTAGAAGCTTCATAGACAATAATTCATGGAGTTGCTTTTTTTGTCCGTCTGCAAGCTGCTCATTTAAGTATTAAGGTCAAAGTAGAAAAACTAGAGTATTTTTACGATCGCGATTATAATAAAAATAATCTAGTTAATCTTGTTTTTTCACTAAAAACTTTCCAACTAACAACAGTGTTATGGATTTCTAATTTTGTAGTGTAGTTTTTAAATCTGGTTACTATCCAGCAAGTGTTAGAAATAATGAATTAGTTATGAACTACCAAAAATAACTTTTATAGATTTCGTTGGACCAAAGTATCAAGAAAATTAAAAAAGTACCAAAAATAGCTCTTGTTACCACTAACATAAGTTGCGACAGTGTTTATGTTCGTCGTCTGTAGACATAATAAGAAACTTATTTCGAGGTTGGCTGGACAGATGCTGATTAATGATGATAGTGATAGTTTGTTACTGCTGCCAAAAATAGGCAAGCGATACAACCTTCTAGCGGCATTGGTTCCCAAAGTGGGGGGCGCGCCCCCTAGGGGAGACGCAGACCTTTAAAGGGGGGCGCGGGCCATCTGTGTACTTAAGTATAAAAAACCCCTTGCATTCGCTGGGAGAATGCATTTCAGACTGCTCGATACGACTAATAAATATTTTTTTGTATGGTCGAAAGGGGGCGCGTCTCAAATAAGTTTGGGAACCAATCTACCGGTTATGTACATTGTACAGTTGGCAGAATGGACTCTACATGTTTGTTGTAATGTCGCCCTTATGACAGAGGTGCCACAGTGCATAAGTTAATGGGTTTATTGTACAACGTGCTTCTTTTGATTTCCTGAAATTTAAGGTGTATATTCTATGAATAAAAACTACTTTAAAAGTTTTAGTAACATGTGTTCCTAAAAGCATCTTTTGGAATATATTATATCATCAATCTTTTAATAGCGTTTTTTTCCAAAATTGTCACTCAGTTATCTAGTCTTTTTGCACATAATTTTCGTTGTTATGTTACGTAAATAATTCATTATTTAAGTTAAAATAATGTGATATTGATATTTTTTACATAGGAAGGTGTTTTTACACGGTTATTTAACTTCGGCGGCAAAGTAGGCACTTAAATTGTATATTACCACCTGTATTTACCATGTGACAAGCAAATAAATAAATATGGCGAATTACGTTATATAAAAATATGAATCGAAAAAAATTTTTAAATTGAAAAATTTTCATGCCAGTCGATTCTTTGAAGTAGTCTTATTAATATGCTAGAGTTCCAGGAAATAAAAACCTTGTAGTTCGTATCTAATTTTTAAGTTCTATACCTACAATTCAGATATCTCAGAGCATTACACAGTGAAGCTTTGTTGTCTATGTAGGCTATGATCGTTCTAGGTATTAACATTTCTATTTTTATAACGTTATGTAACGTAGATGTTGCTTCAATTACATAGGGCAATCTGTTTTCAATCGTTTTTAAGCACGTTCATTTATTCACAGGAACTGGCCCACTCGAATGGCATGACAGTGACAGCTGAACACAGCTTCGAGGACTACATCCCCCTACACATCTCAGATATGGAGGGAATCGTCGACAAGACCTATGAAAAAACCAGAGGTATGTATTACCATCGCAGTTTTGCTAGCCCTTGTCATAGATTGATGATGGCAGTTTATCTATGTCCACGTGTTTCGCTCTGTATTTTCTCTAATTTTTCAAAGGGAGATAAGGAAGGAGAAAATGTTTAGTCTCAGGACCGATTTCATAAATTACCGCCCTTCACTTAACCAAACGATGTTTGCTTAAGTGAAGCAGCAAATCGAACGCACAGCGTTGAATAGAGCTTTATGATTGGTTCGTGTGTCTGTCACTCTGTATGTCCACGTGCACTGTGAGACCTTATAGTAATGTTTGTTAATACAGGCGTTTCTATTGGGTAGTAGGTACTCGTTTAAAGAATCAATGGGTGTTTACTGTTTACATCTTAAAAGTACGTATCTGCTTGGAAATATTTACTATTCAGAAAAATTGCCACTATTTCCAAAAAAGCCAAATATCAGCCTATTTTCCTACACGGTAATGATCCACTTTTTATGGGACAGATAATTCACGCGCTATTTCTTTTTAATAAGATGAGGGAACTGGAGTGTGAAAATCGCAGGTTTCTACTGACGGAGTAATATCAAAGAAATTATCGGTGGAAATGGATCTTTTATGGCGATATTTTATTAAGAACTTAATTTAACTTACTAAAATAAATGACGCATGAGCCGACCACGCAATGTGATAAAATCAGATTATCCTTGTTTTTCTTGTCTTCGTCAATGTCCATTAGCATTAAAAGGGAGTAACAATGTAATTAGGGCCACTTTAATTAGGTTTGGACAATCTTTTTCTTAACGAACATCTGCTACTTTCATTATGCATTAGGGAGTTTTTGTCCAAAATTAGCGGACCTCCGCAACTTCGTTTCCGTATTTTTTATCATGACATGAGTGAGTACATTTTTTGTGATGTGTCAAAAGACGGAAAAAATGGAAAAACTGAATTATTTCGATGTTACCGTTGCGTTGAAGATAATAGAAAAATTAATCAAGTGCGTATCGAACCCGTGATTACCCGTGTAAAGGAATTTCGTATTTTCGTATAGGTATTGCTTCTGAATTGGGTGAGAATCAAATCACGTGTTTTTAATGTATCGAAATTTATATTTACCTACTTGAATAATATGATATTAATTTAGCCGTCAAGGATAAGTGTGGAAATGTATCTTCCTTGACTCCAGGGATTGTGTAAGGATTCCTTCCACACATTTCTTAGGAAAGGTGTGTCTCTTCTCTACACAATGACGTAAAGGGTTGACCTTTGTTTTGAGATACGGTAGGTACGTTAAAAATAATCTTGGTTGACAAAACATAATTTTAGTTACATTTTGCGATAGATGATTTTATTTATAACCATTTTTATTGGTAATGGTTATAAGTAGGTAGATAGTGTAGATACTGTATGTAATTAATAATATGTACTCAGCGACTAAGTTATAACGTCTAGTTATTCTTTCACAAAGTTCAGCGCTTGTGAAGTGAAATAGTTGTATTATTAGAAACTAATTTTAAAGCCGCAAAGCAGCAAAAAAAGACGGGAAATGGAAAAGTGAGGTGCACCGCAGCACAAACCGCAGTGAGTCAGTATCCACATCATAAATTCAAACTCAAAGACCTAATTATTTTGAGATTGAATTTGATTTCGGTATTAGATCGTTTCATCCAGGAAGACGCGCCCCACCATTTTTTGGTCGAGGGAAGCGCGGAGTGCGGGGAGTTTGATTTGAATAATCCGAGCGTCATTATTGTAGTGTGCGTGTGCACTCATGGATAATTTAGCGTGTACCGATAACACTCGAAGTACTCGAACATTTACGGAAGAATGGTGGGGCGCGTCTTCGTGGATGAAACGATCTATAACGGAATATGAGAGGTATTATAGGAGAGTATAACGGTATAATTTACTAATCCACTTAGTATTATTTACTCGTGGGTATTTCTACTTAGTAGAAACTTGAAAGTTGAAAGCCTCTCACATTCACATCAGTAGTACTCCAGTGTTAAGTTACTTGATGAAAGGAATTTTGTTACTAGTATAGATAGGTATACTAAGGTACCTACATCTATTTGTGACATATAAGTGACATCTATTTGTTCCTGCGATTTAAAAACAACGAACTCTAGTCTTCTTTACTGAGATTAAATCATAATATGGAAAGCCTGGTAGATTATACTTAAGCATGTCACAACGTATGCGCCTCAGCTCACGAATCAGTGTGTGCATTTGGTTTAGCAGAATGTTTTGCTAAGACAGACTCTTAAAAACATTCGAAGCGTGCGAACCACACAACAGGTGGGATTGAGATGGGATAAGCATGGGAGCTATGTTGTTGTGTTGTCAGCTGTCTACACTGTTCTAGAGTCTAGAATCTAGACTAAGTTAAAGTGATTAATGGACCCTACCACTACGAGCTAAGTGCATCTATAGCTGTAGATACTGTTATTTATTTGCTACTTAGCAAGGTAAATGAAACGTTTCAGTTTTCTACTGCTTATTTACTTTTGAGAAAGTCTTGTCATTGACTGTCGAGGGACTGCTTTGAAAGAGAGAAAGAAAGAAAGTATTTATTTGATGCGAGTATTAAAAGCATTACAAATAAATAACAACTTAAACACTAAAAAACAGAGTAGGTACACGCACCAAAATGGCATCTGCTCAGTATAAGGCGTGACGGCTTTGCATTGTTTTTTTAAATATTGTACTAGCATTATTGTCGACCGTTTGGTGTAGTGGTTTTAAATCGGACTACTATGCTGAGAGGTCCCGGGTTCAATTCCCGGCAGGGCAGAAATTGAAATGATGAATTTTAATTTTTGTGACGGGACTGGGAGTTACTATGTATAATATGACTGTATGTATATAAAAAGTATATATTATGTAGTATATTATCCGTTAAGCTTTGGGGTTAGATAGCGCTGTGTGAAATTGTCCGTTCGTTCGTTCGTTGTATGTGATACATACGGTTTTCACTAACAATTTTACACCTGTTTCATCTTTTAGACATTGATTTGTTTCTGTGGGATATCCAGTTTGTTTAACATCACTCTTTGCTTAAAAGTATACAAGGTGACAGGCAATTCCCTCGGCTTTTTGCTTGCCTTATATCGCTTGATAATTTTCTAGAAAATGACGCAAGGGAAAAACAGGTCCCAGGGAAAAAATAGACGCGTCAGAAAATGGAAAGTAGGTACTAAATTATAGCTCAAGACATTACCGTAATATTTTAGTTTAAAGCCTTTGTTGGTAAGCACTTACATTAAAATTTAATAGCGCTACGAGTTTAATAATGTAAAGTAGGTATAAGTTTAAAACTTTTAGGGTCTGATTTGATTAAGAATGTTTTTTAGTTATTTAAATTTCATTTTAGCCACTTTTAGCTCTGAACTTAAACCCAATTAGGCAGTTATCAATTAAGTAAGCACTTAACTCTTAAATTGGACAATCTTTTGTCAAGTTGAGTTTTGTTAGCAAAATAACATTTGAAGGAGATTTAAATTAAGTATAGAGGACGAAATTATGTGTGTGGCATCAAACATTCTCGTATTGGCGATGAAAACTTATTTTTATGCATTGCATGCACATTTACATTTAAATGATTGAAACATAATTACGCGCGAGCGATAAGGATGGGTAGCTGGGGGTCATTGAACGAAATTCTCCGTGCTCGGCGGCCGGGCTTAGAAACTTGCTAAGCAGGAGGCACCAATAGAATCGTTCGTTCGTCGTTTCAGCCAAATGACGTCCACTGCTGGACAAAGGCCTCCCCCAAGGTTTTCCACAATGAACGGTCCTGCGCTGCCCGCATCCAGGCTCTTCCCGCGACCTTTACCAGATCGTCGGTCCACCTAGTAGGAGGCCTGCCCACGCTACGTTTTCCAGCCCGTGGTCGCCACTCGAGAACTTTCCTGCCCCAACGGCCATCGTCTCTACGAGCTATGTGCCCCGCCCACTGCCACTTGATTTTAGCAATTCTGCGAGCTATGTCGGTTACTTTGGTTCTCCTACGGATCTCCTCATTTCTGATTCGATCACGCAGGGAAACTCCGAGCATAGCCCGCTCCATCGCCCTTTGGGTGACCTTGAGCCTTCTTATGAGGCCCATAGTAAGCGACCACGTTTCGGATCCATATGTCAACACTGGCAACACACACTGCTCGAAGACTTTCGTCTTGAGACACTGCGGTATTTCGGACATGAGTATATGGCGAAGCTTCCCGAACGCTGCCCATCCGAGTTGGATTCGACGATTGACCTCTTTCTCGAAGTTGGACCTACCTAACTGGACTGTTTGTCCCAGGTATACATAATTGTCGACAACTTCGAGTGTAGAGTCTCCAACCTTCAGAGGAGTGGGTGCAACACGGACATTAGACATGATTTTTGTCTTGTCCATGTTCATTCTGAGGCCCACTTGTTGAGAGGCTCTACTGAGGCCATCGAGCATTGTGCCTAGATCCTCCAAGGTCTCAGCCATGACTACGATATCGTCCGCGAATCGAAGGTGGGTGATGTACTCGCCGTTGATATTTATGCCAAATCCGTTCCAGTCAAGAAGCTTGAAGACATCTTCCAGGGCGGTGGTAAACAGTTTTGGAGATATGACGTCTCCCTGTCTTACCCCTCGCTGCAACTGGATAGGTTTCGAATCCCGATCCTGGAGGCGGACCGACATTGTGGCGTTTTTGTACAAATCCCTCAACACTTCGATATATCGATAGTCAATTTGGCACCTTTGGTCTACAAGCTGTTTTCAAGAGTCATTACGAATCGTCTCGCTCGCAGGCTCGACGACTTCCAGCCTCCCGAACAAGCCGGTTTCCGAAAAGGCTTTAGTACCATAGACCACATACATACGCTAAGGCAGATTATACAGAAGACCGAGGAGTATAATCAACCACTTTGCCTGGCGTTTGTGGATTAGGGGGCGTCCATAAATTACGTGAGACTTTTAGGGGGGGGAGGGGGTCAACGAAAACCTCACAAAATCTCACGTGGGGGAGAGGGGGGTTTCG